AAGAACTTGCCAGAGGATGCAGGGAAAAGGGCATTCTAGGTAGGAAGAAATAACTTATACAAAAGCATACAGGCTTCAAACAGGGAGCATACAGAAAACAAGATGACTCTGCTAGAGCAGAAGTAGAGGTGGGAAAGAAGACAGAATCTGCAGAATGCTATCACTTGAATTCACTCTGTAGGTCACAGGGAACCATAAAGAATGCAAGTGACACAATTAAATTCATGAATTAGATCTAGTTATTACAAAGATAAATTTTAAATGTACAGGATGAAATACAGACAGAAGAAACTTGGAGGCGAAGAGGCCAGTGAAGGTTAACACAGGTGAGAAATTTAAGGCTTAATCAAAGGTCATACAATTAAGGAGATACGGCTGGAAATGAGAGAATTTTAGGAACACATAATGTAAAAGAATAATTCCTTCTTTCCTGGTTTCAGAATAGAGCAACTAAATGGATGATATTTTATTAAATCAAGACAGAACAAAGAATAAATAATGGGACAGAGGGTGGGATGCATGAAATGAAATTCAAGTTTGGACATGCTCTGGTCAATTACTAATGGGATTCTGGATAGAGAGAGATACTTACCTGGAGATCAACAGAAGAAAAAAATTCAACTTGGGATCATTAACAGAAAGTACAATAAAAGTCATGGGACTAGGGGTGCCCGGGTGGCTCAGTCAGTTAAGAGTTCAACTTTGGCTCAGGTCACGATCTCGGGGTCTGTTAGTTCAGGCCCCGCATCGGCCGCTCAGAGCCTGGAGCCTGCTTTGGATTCTGTGTCTCCCTCTCTCTCTGCCCTTCCCCTGCTGGTGCTCTGTCTCTCTCTCAAAAATAAACATTAAAAAAAAAAAAGTCATGGGATTAAATCATCCAATGAATGGAAGCCAGATGAGCCCCAAATCAGGGTAATAGGGAACACCAGTATTGTACGACGACTGTCAGAAGATGAAGAAAAGGAGGAGCCAGAGAAGGGGACTGAGTAAGAAAATACAAAAGAAGAGAACCAAGGAAGGATGGTTATCATAAAAGTTTAATGAAGAGAAAATTCTAGAAATCAATGGTAAATACTATCAAATGATTTGGGCAGAACAAGTAAGACAAAGATTGAAAGTTCAAACTGCGCTCAGTAATTATGTCATTATTGGTAATCCTGACATGAATTTTTTTTTTTTTTTTTTTAAGAATAGTGAGGCTAGAAGACCAATTGCAGAGGTCTGAAGAGTGCTTGAAAGATAATAGAGAAAAAAGACAGAGAGCTTGCTTTTATTTCCTCCTACCTTCCCAATTATTTATTCATTCTAACACTTGAGATTATGACAGACATTTACTTAATGATTGTGGGACAAAATTAAGACTTGGAAAGAGAATTATGTAAACTGGCTAGCTTAAAAAAAGAAAAACCAAAAAAACCTTGAAAAAGAAAGGCATACAGGGACGGACGCTTGGGTGGCTCAGTCAGATAAGTGTCAGACTCTTGATTTCAGATCAGGTAATAATATTGTGGTTCATGGAATCGAGCACCCTACGTTGGGCTCTGCACTCACAGCAGGAAGCAGGAAGCTGCTCGGAATTCTCTACCTCTCCCCCGCACGAGCACACATACTAAATAAACATTTAAATAAATAAATAAATAAATAAAATGATAAAATGATTCTTTAAAAACAGAAAAGAAAGGCATCAACTCTCAGGAGAATTAGTAATCTCAAGTAAGAGGGCCTATGAAGCCAAATGTGAGCATTCATCTAAATTCTGCTATATTCTTTCTATTCTAAAGATTGCAAGAGAGGCCCTGATGAAAGAAAGTAACCCACCTCTGAAGAAGAGAGTTGTCAAGAACAGCAATAACAGAGGACTGCAGCACAATTTAAATAAGAAAAGAAATTCAAACCAAAATTGGCTTCATAACTGGTTCTCAATGGTTTCTTAACCAGGAAAAACCAGAAATTGGTAACAGACTCTCAGAGCATAATAAACTCTGTAACGTTTATATGAAAACTAACAATTATATAAATTGGAAACATGCTAAATGAGGAATATTATTAAAAAGTTACTGAAGTTTTATGTCTCATCAACCATCTTTTTTTTCTTTTTTTTTTTTGAAGTTTTTATTTATTTTGAGAGCAAGCACATGCACATGGGCAGGGTACGGGAATGGAAGAAAATCCCAAGCTGGCTCTGCGCTGTCAGCACAGAGCCCGACGTGTGGCTCCAACCATGAGATCAATCATGACCTGAGCTGAAATCAAGAGTAAGACGCTTAAACAACTTAACCACCCGGTGCCCCTCATCAATCACCCTTTATTCTTTTTCTATAAGACCTTCTACTAAACATATGACATTTCATGAATATGTGTGCTGTACATTTCATATATTCTTTTTTTTCTTATTCAGGTTAAATTGGGGTCCTGGGTGGCTCAGTTAGTTAAGCATTTGACTTCAGCTCAGGTTATGATCTCAGTTTGTGAGTATGAGCACCACATCGGGCTCCACACTGATAGTGCAGAGTCTACCTGGGATATTCTCTCTCTCTCTGCCCTCCACCCCCTTCCTCATTTGCACACTCTCTCCCAAAATACAAAAACTTTAAAAAGTTAAATAAAGTTGTATGTTTAATCAGGTTAAATAAGTTTCCCTCCAATTATAATTTGCTATGAATTTTAAATAGGGATGGGTGTTAAATGTTATCTAGAAAGTATTTTGTACAAATAATGATTTGCCCTTCCAAATTATAAGTACTTTAAGTAATGCACTGTTTTATTCTTCTTTTAAGCCTCCAATCTACACGACCTAGAGTAATAAGTACTAGATATCCAATTAATAGATATTATAAACTTGATAATCAAATCAGAAGTAATTATTTTTCTATACCATGTATATATACAACACATAGTATAAGAAGTTGTTAATTTTTTTTTAATTTTTTTTAAGGTTTTATTTATTTCTGAGAGAGACAGCATGAGCAGGGGAGGGCCAGAGAGACACACACACACAGAATCTGAAACAGGCTCCACGCTCTGAGCTAGCTGTCAGCACAGAGCCCAACATGGGGCTCGAACCCATGAACCACAAGATCATGACCTGAGCCAAAGTCAGATGCTTAACTGACTGAGCCACTCAGGCGCCCTGAAAGTTGTCAAATTCTTATCATCAAAAGTTTACAGAAGAACCCAGGTTAGCTCTCTAACAGTAAATAGTGCTTTTGTTTAACTAATTAATAAGCTATGTGGACTTTCTGTGGAAATTAATAAACTCAATGCCTTGAGAATAACTTACATAAATAGGTACATGAAAAAACATAAATTATAGCAACAATATTCTTCATGTTAATATAGAAAGTGGCTAAACAGAAGTATTTAGGTAATTCTGAAGTCTATTAAGTAACCTTGTGAGAAAGAAAACCCTACATTCTCTACTTCAAGATAATGCTTAAATAAAGTAAGTAGAAACAGCAGGCATCCTAGGACCAGCTGGAGAGCAGGCCATTAATTTAGCTAACAGTTCACTGAAAATAGATACCAGAACAGAAAATTCGTCAAGTTTCAGCACATCCTCTTATTTGAGATGTATTCTGAATGGCTCTGGGAAAACACTGCTCTTAAAACAATGGAAAAACTATACCCTTAAGCCATCAACAGGGTCTAGTTGATTTAATTTTTTTTACATTTATTATTTTTGAGAGACAGAGAGAGCACAAGTGGGGAAGGCACAAAAAGAGAAGGAGACACAGAATCCAAAGCAGGCTCCAGGCTCTAAGCTGCCAGCACAGAGCCCAACACGGGGCTCGAACTCACAAACTGTGAGATAATGACCTGAGCTGAAGTCGGACACCCAACTGACTGAGCCACCCAGGCACCCCCTATACAGGATCTATTTGTAAAGACAACAATAGCCAATTTCCCAATATCAGTTGTACCAAACTGTATTAAAACTAAAAAGTAGCAGCTAAAATAACTTCAACCTAGTATTCAATTCAATTGTGTAACACCTCAGCTGAAGGCTCACTCTTATTCAACACATCATTCTCAAAAAAAATTTTAATGAACTATTTAAAAAAAAAACAAACGCATGTAAAAGTATAGAGAAGTGGGTGTTAAATATAATAATAAAGCATTAACACATCAAAGAAGCTGGAAACAACTGCTCATCAAAAGAAGACCACGACAAAATACTAGGTAAATTATGAAAACATAATTCTACTCCTTCTTCCAATCTACTTTTATCATCTTAACACTAAGATGTGATGTACTGGGTAAGGGCACCTGGGTGGCTCAGTCGGTTAAGTGTCTAATCAATCAGCTTAGGTCATGATCTCATGGTTTGTGAATTCAAGCCCACACTGGGCTCTGTGCTGACAGCTAAGAGCCTGGAGCCTGCTTCGGATTCTGTGTCTCCCTCTCTCTCTGCCCCTTCCCCATTTGTGCTCTCTCTCTAAAATAAACAAACAAAACAATTTTTAATGTACTGTGGAAAACCTCACTTCCTATAAATTTGTCCTTGATTATATGTTTTCTGTAACATAAAGACAATAGATGTAATCTAAAAAACTGCTTCACAATTAATCCGAACTGTAACTAGAATCCATTCATTACTTAATTACTGAGCACTTACCACGGGATGGCTTACCAGTTGGTACCACTGTTATTTTAGAGGTTAGGGATATGATAATGAATAAAACAAAACCTCTATCCTCAAAAGCATTATAATAGGGTAGTTGTAAAAAAAAATCATGTTTTATCCTAATTTTGAACAAAAATACATAAAGGATGATGAAAATTAAAAAGCTTTTTAGGGGCATGTGGGTGGCTCAGGTCATCTTACGGTTCATCAGTTCCAGCCTATATCAGGTTCAATGCTGTCAGCACGGAGCCTGATTCAGATACTCTGACCCCCTCCCCCCATCCCTCCCCTACTCTCCAACTCTCTAGAAAATGAATAAACATTTTTTTTAAAGCCTTTTAAATTATATGAACAACCTTTCATTGTTTAAACTTACCAATGCAAACTGATTGACCTGAATGAAGAGTATTTCCACCTCCTTTTCAGTAACTTCAGTCCCAAAGCCTTTATATTCTTTGTAGGCTTCAAGGTAAGAACGCAGCCACTGGCCCTGTAGTTGTCTGTCTGGATAGAGACTATAGTCTACATCACTGACACCTAAAATGGAAAAAAGGAACACTAAAGATTTTAAAAACACGTTATCTTCTATTTATCTGAATAATTTCTAAAGTAATAATAACTAGATGTTAATAGCAGTTATTAAAATAAACAAAAAAATATAATGCAATGAAACTTAAATCCTAATGCATGACCCATTTCATCATCATAATCAATTCTCATTGCTTCAATTTCTCCTCAAAGAGTGAAGCTTGAACCACCCACATCACAAGCCCCAAACCTTCATTTTAATAACCACCTCAGGGGATTCTTATGTACACTAATATTTAGAGCATTTCCTAGAACTCTAGCTCTAAAAACATTTTTGACCATTACTCACAGGGTTAAGAAATACATTGAAGCTTTATACATTCTCTCGGTATTAAGTGCCACAAAACAATATTTACTCTAACTACTTTGATATTTTCTATTTCTTTTCTTTTCCATTCCTTGTTTTAAAATAATCACCTGACAAACTTGGTTTTAAGATGTGCAACTTGGAAAACAGTAACCTCGGGGCACCTGGGTGGCTCAGTCGGTTAAGCATCCGACTTCAGCTCAGGTTATGATCTCGTAGTTTGTGGGTTCAAGCCCCACATCGAGCTCTGTGCTGACAGCTCAGAGCCTGGAGCCTGCTTCGGATTCTGTGTCTCCCTGTCTCTCTGCTCCTCCCCTGCCTTTGCTCTGTCTCTCAAAGATAAATAAGCAGTAAATAAGTTATTTTTTAAATAAACTTAAAAAAAAAGAAAAACAGTAGCCTAGAAAATAAAATTCAAACTATTTTGTCTACTCGGTGTTCATGAGTTAGTCCAAACTTTACTTCTCTATATAACTCCTATATGCTCCTTCATGAGTTTTATATCCTACAAACAGGTATACTCGCCTTGAAGTTTTCTTCCTCCTTCCTGCAGTGCTTTCCTTTCTCTTCTATTTGCATATCTCAACTTCTACCTAACCTGCAGCTTTATCTTGATTTTTTCCTACATAAAATCATTTTAGGATCACAGGAGCTTCCTCTTTTATATCCACAGCAGTGACCATCCATTATACTAACATGGATATGGTGATATCTCATATGCACAGCTGCTTTCCCTTCACATATATACAACACATGTATGGGGATATAGGATGTGAATGAAAGTTGTGGTGTAGGGAAATAATTGAAAACACGTAAATTAAAACTCCCTCCAACTTCTTCCTAGTTTGGTAAACATATGAAAATATAACTATGTCTGTAAATAAATACAAATAGAGCAATGAAAAGTTCCTACTAGGTATAAATCATCCAGGAGAATGTCCTAATCTTTAGTTTTGGAGCATTTCATGTTTCTAAATATAGTCATAAAATGTATTTTTAAATTCCTTTTAACATAAAAAACCTAAAATTTTTATGCATGACAGTGATAAAAGATTAATTTCCAGGGGTAAAATGGCAAGCCTTTCAATTATTCATAGCCAAAGACAAAATAAAAAACAAATTATTTACTTTCTTAGTTACTCAACATTCCAAAACGTCAAGTATAAAATGGAAACAAAAGCTTTTATAGGATTTTTTTAAAAATGCAAATCTTAGTTCTCTGTATTTTACTGTGATCTTGGGGAGTTGCTTTCTCCATGTGTAAACTGGGAATATAACCTAAGTGACAGGATTGCTGTGGAGGACAAAGATGAGACTTATGAAACACTTTGCACTATGTCAGGTCTTAATGTTAACCACAATGATTATTTATTATTTTCCTTAAGAGATTAGGAAAGGGTCATCTCTTCTCTTTCTTCAAGTAATAAAAAGGTCAGGAAAGGGTTAAAAAAATGTTGTTCCTACTCCGAGGAGAACTTCCCTGAAGAAAACAAACAAACAAGAACAGTTCTAAAAGCATTATTTAAGAGTCTAACTCTTGATTTCAGCTCAGGTCATGATCTCAAGGTCTTGAGATCCAACCCCACACAATGGGCTCCACGCTGAGCATGGAGTCTGCTTGGGATTCTCTCTACCACTCTTTCTCTCTGCCCCTACCCACCCCTCTCAAAGTAAATAAATAAATATCTTTTAAAAACCCTTTTTAAGTATTATTTCAAAGTTAAATATGTTGCTCCATTAGTTAAGCCCTGATTTTACCTGCAAATTCATTGAAATGATTTCCAATATCATAAGCCAGGTAGTTGTATCCAGAATATTCATAATCAATGAACTGTACATCACCTATGTGAGACACAAAAAAAAAGACATAAGAAATCATACACAAGATAAGAAAACCCCTATGCTATTTGTAATTAAATAGCTTCCAAAAATTTGTCTCATTGTATGTGCTTGGTTACATGCACTTCTGAGACAATACAGGGTAAGGCTGTGAATTTTATGGCAATGAGCTTTACAAAATTCAAATTACATACTGTCAACAGCTTGTGAACATTAACATTCACTATATTAAAGAAAAGTCAAAATAATAATTATCCAAATTCAAACAAAAGCAAAATACGTCTTTCACCACAAGGGGGCATCAGATACTTAAAAATTCCAATTTAATTAAAAATAAATACTATCTTTGGAAATTGTTAATAACCTGTGCAATTTTAACAAATTATGATACTCCAAAAGCAAACTGATATGCTACTTTACGTATATAAATCAAATATAAACTTTAACAAACTTGAATTCTGTGAACCCTGTAGTTCTGTTATAATGTTTGATCAACTTAATGATATTACTAATTTAAGAAATTAGTTGCTATAAATTCAGTTTCTTGGAAGGCTAGATAACTAAGATTTCCAATAGAACACCTGAGCAGCATTAAGGTGGTTATTTTATTTTTTAAAAAGAACAAAGGCATAGCTGCTAGTGAACATTTTTAATTTGAGAAATTTTTATATAAGCTAGATTCCTATTAATGCTAAATACATTATGTGTATTTCATTACATTTCTCCAAAGATAAAAGGCAAAGTCTGCCTGTCCAGACATTCATTTTTAAGTAGTAAGTGTAATAGAGGGTTTGTCTCAAAGATATAGGTCTTTTTAAAAAGGAGACAACAAAAAGTTTTAAAAAAAGAGAGAGAGAGAGAGAGAGAGAGACATTTAAAAAAATCAAAATGGGTCACTGTAGACACCAGGCATCACAAACTCAAAGGTTTACAGGGCCATACAGTTAAAATGGAAACACGCACAGAGATGGCTGTAAGAATAGTTTCTAAGAGGCTTATATTGAGAAAATGCATAGAATATGCCTTAGTTACACTGTCTTCAAACTGACGTAACAAAACAAACTCCTGGTCCACACACACTGGCATTTCCCAAATAAAAGAGCTTTGAACTATAGTATCTTGATATGGATTATATGCTTAATTTAGGGGTATATGTTGATCATATACAAACTCAGAAAAAAATTACATGACAAAAGTATTATGACACATGGCATATTTTACATAAAAGCAAAAATATTTCTAATGTAATAGCATTTAATATATTAATTCTAAACTTGTATAAATACTAGTCAGGTCTAGAGCAAATTAAGTGAGCATCATCAGAATATCAAAATCTATATGCATACTGACAAAATATAAGGTTTTAAAATGTTGGTGACTACAATGAACCACTGCTTTGAACCACCACAAGTATTATAGTCCTGAATTCAAAAGACTATCCCATAGAAAGTCTTAAAGTTAGCCAAATCACTTTACTAAATTGCAGAATGGGATGTGAGAACATGTTTTAAAGTCTGTTCTGGGTAACACTGGTAATAAGAGGGTGAATTCCACCATCACAGTAAAATACTCTAAAGCCATGAAAAAAAATTTTTCATTTTCAAAAATTATTTGATGACCAGGAGAATTACAAATGTTACACACATAAAAGGATATGGAATAGTAAACACAGTGATCCAAATTACTAAACTATGCCTGGAGAGAGAGAAAGAACATATAATGCACAGGAGAAAAAAAGATGAATGGAAATTAACCAAAACAGTATGTTTCAACTGGTTTCATTACAGGTGATAGACAAGTGACCTTTTTTCCCTTGTATTTTAAATTCTTTAAACAATACTTCATAGGAGAAAAGAAAAAAAGATAGTTTAAAAAGATTAAGATGAATTCTCTATATAAAACTGTCAACAGATGAAGAGACTAAACCCAGTAATTTTGGATATACCTATCCAGCCAGCCTTTAAGAAATCAGGATTCAAAAAGATTCAACAAGTTGCACAAATGAGCCAACCCAACAGTTTTAAACAGGCTTTTTTAAATTGCAGCTGTTGATTGTTTTAACTCTTTAAACACAAATTCTTGTAGAGCTCATATTAACTCTTACATGCCAATAAAAATACACAGCCCAGTCCTGAAGCTTACTTGTGCCACATAAACAAAAGCTTCAATTTCAATTTTCAAAATTATATTTAGAATTTGGCAAATATAGTTAAAATGGCAGGTAAAAATCCCTGCATATAAATACAATTTAAATAAAACATAGATCATTTTAACAAAAGTTAAAATCTGTTTCAGTATGAAAATTTTAGCAATGACTTTTTGTAGTAGCATTAATTCATTAAAACTAGCCTTTATTTTTAAATGCAATGTTGAGTTTATAAATAATGAAATTTAAAAAATAAGAAAATGAAGCTAACAAGATACAGATGAGGCTGTTACCAGGCTCCGTGCATGTGAACAAGTGATGCGATAAACCTCCAGTCAGTGCGTTTAAGAAGCACGGGTGCGCCGCCACATGGCAGCAACAATGGCATACCTAATCTGTAGCAGATGAAGAAAATTTGGCAAACTCACATTTTACAACACACAAAGCTTAAAAGGAAAAAAAAATTTTTTAAAACTCTGCATTAACTATTCTTTTTTCAAACTATTGCAAACAAAGTGGAACTCAACCTTAAATTTAATCTTCTGCAACAAAATAAAATTAAAGAGGCCTACTTCACTTATTTTGGGTGCCAGAAAAATCAAATTACTAGAAAATGCTTTCCTAACAACAAAATATATTGAACTTTTTCTTATATAAATTTAACTTCTGATTTCTAAAACTTCCAATTATTTAGAGGAACATCCACATCACTATTAATAATTAATAGTTCACAGGGCATGACTAACTTGTTAATTTTTTAAGTTTCAAGAGTGGGGGAAAAAATGAGACTACTCCCTAAAAGTTTTTACAAAATCTTATGTGTATCTTCATTTTATGAGGGCAATCTCAACTTTCCAGATTCTAAAGGGATCCCTGACCTCTTAAAAAAGTAAAGCAGCAGTGCTTTATCTTTACACAATAAGGCACACTGCACAAAATGGGTAAAACATCAGATTAACGAATAAAATTATAACCTGGACTTTCAAAAATTATGTTTCTTTTTATGGCTATTTCTTGTATGGCTTCACAGTAATAAAATCCATACATTACTGACTTTTTAACTGTTCAACAAATTTCAGTATGGCTGAAAACAGCCAATTTTTAAAGTACTTTAAAACCAAAATATTTAGTTCATTAACTAAGGCTTTATATAATTCACATGCTACATTTGTTTGGATTCCTTTATTTTGTTGTTAAGGAGAAAGAGATAAAAAGAAAAAGCAAAATGACCAATACGAGAACCTGAAAATCTTTTCAACTCACTCTACTTGTTCTGCAGTGTTAGGTAAGGCAGAAAGAGAATAGAGAAAAAATAATGATGATTAAGCTACTGTTAGCAAAATGCTTTTTCTCTTTTACAGAAAAAGGGAATATTCTGCTCTGAGAAACTTTCCATTCATCCCTCACTCTGGCGTCCAATAGTACCTGTGTACACCTTCACCATGGCGCTCATCATTCTGAATGTAAATATCTGTTTCATGATCTGACTCTTCCACTATATGGCATATGGCTTCCTGGAAGGACAATAGGTCCCTTTCATCTCTCATCACGCAATTGATGTATTGCACACAGTAAGTATTCAAATGCTTATAAACAAAGGTTTGGCAGAGAATACTGAGACACAATGATAACATACGTTTAAATGGTGGGTGGGGAAGAAGGAATAAGCATGAAACACTAAGAACGAATGAAGTATGGCATTTCTGACATTCTTACCCCTTAAGTATATGATTGAATATACAGTGGGAATGAATATATGAGTGAAGAAAAACACACTTATCTAGTAATTATTTTAGGCAGCTCTTTCTTAATAGTTCAGACTTTTATAGTGCATTTAAGCTTTTTACTGATTTAAGGATATTTTATTTTACGCTAAACAGTAATCCAGAATAGAAGTTAAAACAAGGTTAAGGCTATCCTTTATTAAGAATAACTCCACCCTGGAAAATACAAGTTACCAAATACAAAAATAAATTTGTATTTACTTAAATTTTAAAATAAAATCACCAAGAACAAAACTCTGTCATTAAAATGTCAATGAAACAATCAAACCACAGTATCTTTCATGAATAATAATACACTGGGTAAGATTTAGAGCCAATCAAGTGACTGAGAATGGTACCTCATCCATTTTCTATTTACAGTGTGTAAAACTCTAAAAACCTGTTTACACTATAAATCCCAGGAAAAGATTCCTTTTTCTTCCACTCATTTATGTTTCTTTAAATAGCTGTAAATCAGCTTCCTGTATTTCATAAATAATCAATGATTGCCATTACTGAAATTTAAAGTTCCAGATTAGATCTTAAATAAATTTTTATGAAGAAATGGGAGAGAAGGAAAGAAATGAAACAGCCACCAATAAACAGAGCATCAAGACATGAGAAAATATACTGAAAAGCTTTAGCAATTACTTCTAAGATATCAGCAGTTAAAGAGCTGAAATTAAATAATTAGAATTGAAGTTAGTCAATAAGCAATATTACAACTTGTTCTACTTCATATACATTCATTTTTAAATGATCAATATAAAAGACAATTGGTAAGTCTTAATAGTGCTGGAGCAAGAACCACTGCTACTGGGTTTTTTTTTTTATCATGTAATAAATTTTATTATCATTATCATGAAGTATTCTTTTCCTTACCTTTTAAAGATGTCATTTCACTGAAGGCAAGGAATGGGCCGCTGTTTACCAAACACCTAATTCCTGGCACTGCCTAACATTTCACAAATCTTGATAGTTACCATCAACTCCAGAAAGGAAGCTCACTCTTCTCCCATGAGTCCTGTCAACGGACATGGTGAGAACAGGCAGAGGCAGTATTTCGTCCTGTGATGCCTACTATCTCCTGCAACATTCACAGGTGCAAAAAGCCTATGAACTGCAGGGTGCTCATAATCCTGTGTGTGTATAAATATGTACTTATGTATACATACACACATACATATATATACATTTTTAAACTTTACTCACTCAAGTTATAGTTAAGATAAAATCTGTAAGCTGCACTTAAAGACAAATTCAATTGTCATCTCACGACTATGAACCATAAATCTCCTATTTGTAAGATACAGTCAACTACTATCTTCCAGTAACCACTCTTTTTCAGAATCAAATACATATTGTAAAATGCATCCTATGAACGTAATAAAGGGGTTGGCAAACTACATATGCTCAGGCCAAATCCAACCCACTGTCTGGTTTTGTAATAGTTTTACTAGAACACACATGCATTTACTGATGTATTATCTATGGTTCATTTGTGCTACAACACAGAATTGAATCACTGCAAAGGAGACTATCTGGTACACAAAGCCTAAAATGTACCATCCACACCTTACAGAAAAAGTCTGCCAACCCCTACTATAATAGTAACATCTATGAGCTACTAGGTACCTACTTGTATGCATGATCTAAAATCTTGTCAGGAGGGGCCCCTGGGTGGCTCAGTCGGTTAAGCGTCCGACTTCGGCTCAGGTCATGATCTCGCGGTTTGTGGGTTCGAGCCCCGCGTGGAGCTCTGTGCTGACAGCCAGCTCAGAGCCTGGAGCCTGCTTCAGATTCTGTGTCTCCCTCTCTCGCTGACCCTCCCCTGCTCACGCTCTCTCTCTCTCTCTCAGAAATTATAAAACAAATAGAATCTTATCAGGATCATCTGAAGTAGATAGTCCCTCTAAGTTAGAAATAAAGCAAATTAAATTTCTAGGCTATCAGAAGTATAAACACTGCCTGGAAACCCATTTAACATGCAGATTCTTAAGCCCAACTACAGAAATTCTTGTTCAGTTAGCCTTAGATGGGTCCCAGAAACACTCATTTTTCCCAAGTACCCTGGGTGATTCTCGTACAGATAGTTAAGTTCAGATATAAACACTTCATAAAGAGATAAAATGGAGGCACTTAAGCTGGCTAAGTCAGTAGAGCATGCAACTCTAGATCTCGAGATTGTAAATTCGAGCCCAATGTTGGGTACAGAAATTTCTTAACAATAAAATTAGAAAGAGAGAGAGAGAGAGAGAGAAAATGATGTGTCTAATACCACCTACTTCTATATGTGACTGAGCAGGGGTGTGAACCTAAGCGTGCTTGGTTCCAACATCTACACACTTTCCAACTTCTCTTAGTTGTAACTAAGCTTTAATACATCTGCTTTTTAGAGTTACTTAGGGGGGCCTGGGTGGCTCAGTCAGTTAAGTAACTCTTGATTTGGGCTCAGGTCATTATCTCTCAGTTTGTGACTTCAAACTCCACGTCAGGCTCTGTACTGACAGCACAGAGCCTGCTTGAGATTCTCTCTCTCTCAAAAATAAATAAACTTAAAAAAAGAAAAAGATTTACTTAGAAAATTTTAATCCAATGACAATATACAAAAATCTAAGTTTTAAGTTATTATGGTTGAAAAATACCTGTGGAAACTTCAAGATGACCTAGTATAAATTCATGAAGTTTAATAACTAAAATCTGCACTTCTGAGAAATGAAGGGTCTAAAACATACTAGAGATACTAAGCTTGATGATGTCAAAGCCAGTCCCTTGGCTTTCATCTTATTATGTTTACATATTTATATCTCATTAAGTGAGTACAAAATACTGAAGTCCTGAGCTCAAATCACATGAACGACTTAAAAAGTGGTAACAAACTAAACACACCTGTGATAGGACGTGCAACTTAATCACTTATTCTATGTAGAAATTACTTTAATCTCAAGACACTTCACACATGGGCTTTTAGATGCCTTAACATGTTAACCAGTTAAGATAAAGAACTCTTGCAGTCCCTATTTCTAATTTTAATTACCCTCCTTAAGACTGCAACTTTAAAAAATTAATGCTGTTTTAATTAAACATTTTTTTAATTAAATGGTAGGTAGATAAAATTAACCATAATTAATTAAACTAGTTTAATTTTTTTCTTATTACATTGACTAAATGTAAAGAACTTACAATTCTCTAAGCACAAGGCATGGTAGGTATTTCTTCCTTTTAACTAAAGGTAAATATGTCATACAGTTATATTACTTCAAAACCATTAGCTCTTAATTTGAAACAGATAATAATACACAGAACAAACCTCATGCCACACTTTTATGAGCTTTAGATTCTACCTGAACAACATTCCAACCGTATTTGCTTAATGCTATGTATCAACTAATCACATAGGAACTGACTCTTTTTAACGGATCCCATAAAGTCCAAACTTGTCTTCCGAACAGACTGTTAAAACCAGTGGTAAGGAAAAATAACAGAACATATCTATAACTAACACACAAAATATAACCACAAAGACAAGAAGAAACAAATGGTACACAATAGACTTTCTGAAGAGAGGAAAAACAGATTAAAATAATTACATTTGTTGAACTGTGAAATTCATTATTTCTGTATAGGGAAGAAAAATTAGGCACAAAAATATGACTTAGGTTTACTCTTGGTAAAATAAACAAGTGACAACACAGGAGTCAAACTGAAGCATAAAGATTTTGTTTGAAAATATGAGAACTTTTAATATCACTGATCAGTAGTTTAAATAAAAAGTAAAAATGCATTTTTTTTTAACACCTAAGACAAAGTAATCTGATTTTTTTGGTCCCTTATATTTTAGTTTTATAAACAAGATTGCTCTGTGAAATGAATATGCAAAAGAAAATTATAAAATAAAAATATGAAAAGTTAAAACTATATTCCAAAGGAAATAACAGATTTCTCTTTGACTAACTTGCAGTTAAAAATAAAGCTGAGTATCCACTTCAAAAGTAAGATGAAGTCCCTCACTTGAAATTCCATTATATAAAAAGTGTTATTTGGTCTTGTACTGAATTTAAAAAGCTAACACATCGCTTTAATGTAAAACTAGCATCTTGGCTCACAAATGGCATTGAGATTTGGTTACTAGTAATGATGTAGCATATACATGACAATTATATGTAATAAATGGACAATAAATAATAAAGGACACTGTCAAGTACTTCATGCTTTAGGGAATACCTGAAGTTTTTTTTAAAAAATGTTTCTAGACTAAGACTTCAAGACATTCAAAAAAATGATGTTATAGCTCAATGTATTTTTTAAAAAATAGAATCTCTAATCCGGATTAAAACATAAAAGATACTCAAACATGTTCTTGAAAATACGTGCTTCAGTCCCATCCTTGACAGTGCTCTTTGATTGATATTCTTCAAGTTAAAGGCAGTTACAAATACTAATAGCCTTTGCATTAGAACAGTCTTGACTTGGTCATAAATAGCAATTTTAGAATTATGACCACTTAATAATCAGAATTCTTTGGCTTTAGCATCTTCATAAAAACACACTTTTGACTTAAAATAATCTTTCAACTATAATGACTATTCTCAAAACTGATTTCCTTTAACATGCAAGTGTCAGAGTTTCAGACTTTCTGGATTAATACTAAATCTTCAGCCAAAATTATATTTTTTAATTTCAATTATTTCTGAAGGGAAATCTATAATTTAGCAACCAAACCTCAAACCACTTTATCCAATTATATAATAAAAACGAGAGTTTTTTAAATATGGAAACAGAAAATCTGAATACAACAAGATTTGAACAATCACAGAAAAACATTTCACCAAGAAGTATCACAGTCTATTCCTCAAAAAATGTTAAAACTATTTACCAAAGCTTCTTGACTACTACTTTAGTATACAAAATTCAGCAAGTACAAATAACATTTCCTCCATCTGTAGCTCTCCCCTTAGCATCAAAATATCTAAAAATCAGAATAATGAGGTAACAGAAAACCTGGACACAAATTTGTTTCTAATACTGCTGTCCTGCCCAACACTGAGAAAATTATATATTTATTAAAAGCAGTGCAATGTCAGTTGGCTTTTCAATAATTCCCATTACAAGCAGGTACATTTTCAAACCATGAATTACCAAATAGGTTTTACAGTTTAATTTATAAAAAAAAATCATTTTATCATTTTTCATTTAACTCTTAACAAGAACCACAAGATTTCTAAGAAACATATTTTGTGCAAATAAAGAATATGTTCCTACTTTAGCAGAGTTACCATGATTTTTAACCTAAAAAAAAATCTTTAAAGACTTCAGGAATGTTTTTAATCCTTACATCTGAATTAAATTTATTTGATACAAAGATCAAAGGACCAGTAAGAACATCAAAGAAATCAACTTTACTTACTGCTAAAGTCAGATACCTACCTTGTTTCTCATTGTAGATTATATTCTTACACAATAGGTCATTATGGCAAAGCACAACAGGTGACCCCAGGTTTGAAAGAATCTCCTTCATCCAAGTCATTTCTTCCTGAAGAATCTGAGAGCTTGGGATATCACTTAAGAACCTTTAAGTTAAGGAAAAAAAAAGAGAAAGAATTACATCCTGTTTATATTAATAACTTTTTTCAAGTTTAATTAAAGATTAAAATCTATTTTTAGAAAATTCCTTCCACTCAATTGCAAAGATTCCTGAATTAAAATAAGCCAACTATTCTAAATGTTTGAATAAAGGAAAATCTTTACAATGAACTTAATATGAATAAAAAATAAATAAACCTAAGCAAGTTAAAATGCAGAGTTGAAAAGTAAAAAATCTATTACTACAAAACTGGGGGAGGAAAGTAATATATACACATATACTTAATAGCTAACATTTACTAAGATCTAATTCTAATTGATTTACATGTATCTCCAAGACACAAAGAGTTCAATAAAAAGAGGTGTAAGTACATTATTTAAAGTTATAAAGACAGTTGATTAAAGAACTAAAACATCTATTTCAAATTTGAAGACTGAATGCTAACTTTACCTATCAAAGTCAAGAGACATGACCTACTATTGATAAACAAAATAAATTATATGCTAATCATCAGGTACTACCTGTGATAATCGTATCGTAGAATACTCTCATCTATTATAGAAACTGTCCCAGAGTAGTGAGACTGGGGAGTATGGTAGGCAGGTGGCAAGCAGGACTACAGATTATGGCTTTTGAATCCTATACCCACTACTCTTTTGTACTATTTATTATGCTATATTTATATTCATTTGACAAAATATAAAATGAAACAAAAATAGAATGCTACCCCTAACTCCTCCATACCATCTGGCTTACAAAATTGCTATTAGTTTACACTCTCTTCCCTTAACACTTTTAAGCCAAGTTTTCTTCATTCTTTCTTTGCAGTCTCTCAAACTACTCTCTTACTTTTCCATTTTATAATAAAGACTCTCTATCAATTAATTTAACTTTAATGAATTTGCCTATTCAAATGGTTGCTGCCTATATTTTCCCACTACTGCATTCTTCTCTACACACAGCTTCCAAAAGTAATCCTTATATGCTCTCGTGAAGATGATGTAATTGTTCAAGAAACTATGTAAAACGTACAGAGTTGAACAGAAATAACACTCAAAGGATTGAATGAGATCATTATAATCATATACAAATAAAAAGGAACTGAAAAAATATGAAATACTTTTAATACTTTGTTTTTAATGTTTTAGTTGTGTATTACCTATTAAGGCAGGGTACTTTTGCACCCTGTTGTATGTATTTTGTATATACTAACTCAACTAATCCTCATAAAAACCTTAAAAGGTAAATATACTACTTATTATTTCCATTTCACAGATGAGGAACAGGTAACTTGCAGAAAATTACAGAGTAGAACTGTTAACTGAAGAATTAACCCTTCATCCTAGGCAATCTGGGCTCTAGAACCTTGTCCAGAATCCACATAATACTATGCTGTCTCCAAACAGCATTATATTAAAAAGTCAAGAAACTCTTACATTCACCATTGCCATCTACTTCACGATTTTTAAGTGACATTCCCCAAACTTTTTCAATAAAACAGGTATTTCAAGAGGATTTTGAGGGGGGGGGGTTTGCTGCCACTTCCTGAATATCTAGTATACTGGACACATTTACAGATGTTTGTCTATCCCAGGTAAAAAGGTATACCATTCCTATCAAATTCAAAGTCTGACAAACTACCTGTAAGTAAAACACATATACTGAGTGAATCCAACTAATCTGTGAAATAATCCAACTCAAGAGAACAATACAGCTATTTTTCCCTAATGAATTATAAAGAGTAAACAGAAAGGAAGAAAAATCTATAGGTCCTGCCTGCCTTCATTGTTCTTAAAACAAAAAATTTCTAAAGAGATATAAAAGGGAAAATAAAATCCTTCATCTTTATACTAGCATCAATCACACTGTATAAAAATATATTCATATAATTTAGATTCCAAATACTAATTTACAATTATTTTTATAGAAAATATAAAGAAGTCCCTTACTTCCTCAACTTAGGTAGTCAATTTTACAAAAGCCAAGTAAGACTCCAGCAATTGAAGGGAACCTGGGTGGCCCAGTCACTTAAGCGTCCGACTCTTGATTTCAGCTCAAATCATGATCTCATAGTTGTGAGATCAAGACCTACGTCACGATCTGGCTCAGAGCCTGGGGCCTGTTTCAGATTCTGTATCTCCCTCTCTCTCTGACCCTCCCCTGCTCACGCTGTCTCTCTGTCTCTCAGAAATTTAAAAAAAAAAAAAAAAAAAAAGACTCCAGTAATTGAATCTTCAACCTCATTACCTGGGGATTAAATTCTCAGTAAACTAAGACAATCCAAACTTTTTCATACTCCAATATTACTACACAGCCCCAATGTAAATTTATCAGCCTATTTAAAACAGCTTCTAAGAAAAAGAATTCTTTAAAAAAGGGCTCCATGGCCAACTGCTTCTTCTATACAAAAACTACTCAGTCATAGCAATCATTACATTATGCTTACTTCCAAATAACTGTTTCTATATTTGTTTCTTGGCTGTTCATCTCTACCCACTTTCCCGGCTTTTGTAGGGTGTCTTGTTTGTTTTGTTTTTGAGCTGGCTGGAGGAGAAAGGCAGTTATACTCCTGTAGTGTCATCTGAGAGCCAAATGAATCAATGCTAAGCTAATCAAATACTAAGAGAGCAACCAAGCTAGATTTTATACACAGAAACCTTGCAAACTACCTCTAAAACCCTATTTATGTATAGCAAAAGAAAAGTAAAACAATTTCAAACGTAAAAGTAATTTTACCTTTTATTAAGGTCTTCATCTGCAAATCCTGTGGGAATGAGAGAGAAATATTTTCCCATCTTTAGCCATAGATTAGATTTGGGAATCCAGCCATTGTGTGCATGGATAGCATGGATTTTAGCAAGCTGACGTGCTATTAGCCTGTTTTAAAACAAAACAGAATAAAAAGAAAATGTTAAGTATCGTAGGGTTCATGCCTACTCATGGGTAAAATAACTAGTGTACATTTATTTTAGAACATGATTTCATTTTTACCTTATATATAAGAGCCAAAATTAATTTGTCAAGTCAACTCTCAGAAGGAGAGGCAGTCAAATGATTAAAGCATCAGTAGTTAAAAAAAAAAACAAAAAACAAAAAAAACCACCTATGATTCATACAGTGAATAAATGTTGTATCCAAAAGGGATGGAGTGTCTGGAAGTGGTCTGTTCTGATTACATAAACAATGGTTAGGATGAGCACAACAGTACACAATTTAAATGATTTCAAGTCTCATATCAGACATTAATCAGAGATACATTTAAATTGCACTGTTTGAATTTTTAAAAAAAGGTCTTTTAATGTCAGAATCAATCTCTCAATTCAACAAAATAATCTAAAGCTGTGTATACTTGTATCCATGCTATCTTTTTATCTGTAGAACCTAGAACAGCAAAGGCTAATATAAGAATAAGCATACAAAACAGAAATTAAGTTACCAAACAGTTTATATAGACTAGTAGGTAGGAAAATGACTTAATAGTAAGTAATGACTTATAGTAAGAACTTAAAATTGTCTAATTTTGAAGATACTCACGATCTAATGTTCTTTAAAGTACAAGCTCTAGGACCTACAACACAGTGCCATCTAGAAATGTCTGATGCCTCACCTCAGAACTACTGAATCACAATCTCTAAGGGTGGGCCCCTGCACTCTCATTTGAAACAAGATCTCCATGTGATCCCAATCCACTGTAAAGTTTGAGAAACACGGATATAATGTTGCAATTGTGCAGCTTGGCTCTATACTGAAATCAAACTTCAGAAACTTACTTACTTACATACATACATACATACATACATACATACATACCTAGGTACTACCTTTAAAAATTCCAATAATTGGTTTGGAATATAGCCAGGGCATCAAGATATTTAAAAGTTTTTCAGAGGATTTTAATATACAAAAATGTTTGAAAACTGCTCCATTAAGACACACACAGAATCTAGCATTGCAGTACTGTGATTCAATACACAGTTTTATTATATTTTTAAAGTATAGTGAATATTCTTCTGTACCTAGTTTCTAGTAATAAAAGCGTTACGATTTTCTCTTGAGGAAACCTCCATTCCCTTCACTTTTAGTTCCTGTGGTTCATACAGACCTCAATCCTAACTCCCTGGATCACATCTGTAGCACTAATATTAGGAATTAAGACACAGAATTGTCCAGAGCATTCCATCCTTCCCTATTTGTTTCATGATGATTAATTCTGAGCATATTACCCAAACTAAGCCAAAAAGATCTGATCAGGACTTCCCATTGATGCTTCTGACTGGTCAAAACTATTAGAAAAAGAACTCCCCTGCTCCCTGCCCTCCTCCCACCATTGCTAAACTGATCAGATAAGCCGGCAATTTCTGGTAATAGTTGCCATTCTTCTTTTTTTTAAGGTTTTATTTTTAAGTAATCTCTATATCCAACGTGGGGCCTGACCATACAACCCCAAGATCAAAAGTCACATGCTCCACTGACCAAGCCAGCCAGGTAGGTGCTCCTATTACTGCCACTCTTAAAAAAAAAAAAGAAAAGAAAATGGATAAATTAACATTTCTCTCGAGAAGCCAACAAACATAAGATGCCCAATAAGCAGAAGAAAAAATGCTATATATAACTAATCATTTGGCAAATGAAAATCAAGCCCACAGTGATATAACACCTCATAGCCATTAGGATGACTACTACCAAAAACAAACAAAATAATCAATGTTGGCAAGGATGTGGAGAAACAGCAGCCCTTGTACACTACTGGCAGGAGTGTAAGATGGTATAGTTGATATAGAAAACAATACGCAAGTCCCTCAAAATATTAAAAATAGAATTATAATATGATCCAGCAATTCCAGTTCTGGTTATATATCCAAAAGAACTGATATCGGTACAAAAAGATATTTTTACCCCTATGTTCATAACAGCCTTACTCACAATAGCCAAAAAGATAGAAGCAACCCAGGGGTGCCTGGGTGGTTCAGTGAGTTAAGTGTCTGACTTGATTTCGGCTCAGGTCATGATCTCATGGTTTTAGGATGGACTCTATACTGTGGGTGGGGCCTGCTTGGGACTCTCTCTTTCCCTCTTCGTCCCTACCCTGCTCATGCTTTCTCGCTCTCAAAATAAACATTAAAAAAAAAAAGAAAAGAAAGGAAGGTAGAAGCAACCCAAATGTCCATCCATGGATAAGAGGATAAACAAAATGTGATACATACATAAAATGGAGTATCAGCCTTAAAAAGAAAGGAAATTCTGGCACATACTACAACATGGATGAACTTTGAAGACACCATGCTAAGTGCAATAAGCCAATCAGAAAAGACAAAAGTGTGACTCCACTTACATGAGGTATATAGAGCAGTCAAATTCATACATACAGAAAGTAGAATGATGGCTGCCAAAATTGAAGGTAACAGAGAATTGGACAGTTGCTATTTAATGCATATAAAATTTTAGTTTTGTAAGATGAAAATAACTGTGGAGGCCTGGATGCAGAACTTACTACTACTTAACAGTATACTTTAAAAATGATTAAGATGGCAAAATGTTATATGCCTTTCTGCTGACCAGCACCTCCACCAAAAAAAATTTTTTAATTAAATAAATCAAATGAGGGGCACTTGGGTGGCTCAGTCAGCTGAACGTCCAACTTCAGCCCAGGTCATGATCTCACGGTTCATGGGTGTGAGACCCACAGGAGGCTCTGTGCTGACAGCTCAGAGCCCGGAGCCTGCTTCATATTCTGTGTCTACTTCTCTCTCTGCACCTCTCCCATTTGCACACTGTCTCACACTGTCTCTCAAAAATAAATGTTTTTAAATAAATTAAATGGTTATACAGTTCTTAACAAGACTTGATTACAGCAATTCAATTATTTTCTATTAGTAAATTTTACATATAACAGACAAAAAAACTACAAAATCTCTTCAATAATGTAGTTCTGCACTACTTAATAAACCACGAATTTTTTTTTTTTTAGACAGCATATGCACACCCAGACAAGGGGGGGGGGGGGGGGGGGAGAGAGAGAGAGAGAGAGAGAGAGAGAGAGAGAGAGAGAGAATCGGAGAATCCCAAGCAGGCTCCACGTTGTCAGAGCAGAGCACAATGTGCCTGAACCCACAAACCTAATCCAAAATCGAGTTAGACACTTAACTGAGCCACCTAGGAACCCCTAAACCATGAATTTTTATTTGTATATATAAGAAAGTAATTAAAAATTACTTCAAGATTTCTGATTTTCACTGTCATAGATTGGTCCTCCTTCTACCTGGTCTTAATAAGTAAGGCTTAACATCAAGGCAAATGCTACTTTAAAATTCCACACTCCGTAAAATAAAACATTTGAAAATTTCAAGGCTTCAGAGAACCTTCTTAAATACTCAATAATACGAATTGCCCCTACTCTTGGAAGCTTTTAAAAAATTAAGAGCATTATAAGAATAACAGGAATTTTTTTAATTGAAAAATAACCTCTAATCCTACCACTCCAATAGTTTGTTTCATTTTTAATACTCCATTTGGGTTTTCACATAGCAAATTATTGTGTGATTGTAGCCACAGTTCAACTATTAAATGAGTTGATTCCTCTTAGCCCTGCATCAGCCATTCTGCATTATTTTATACAATATTCAAAATTACAATTTCAATAATAGCATAGTATTTATTTGTGTTTATATGCCTTAATTATATCTGAATGTAAGAGTTGTCATGATAGGAACCCACTATCCAACTTTCTTTTATGATTATATATTGCCCTATTTTTTTTAATGTATTTTTTTTTAATTTATTTCTGAGAGAGACAGACAGACACACACACACACACACACACGTTTTTTATTTCTAGGAGAGAGAGAGAGAGAGAGACAGCATGAGCAGGGGATGGTCAGAGAGAGAGGGAGTGACAGACTCTGAAACAGGCTCCAGGCTCCGAGCTGGCAGTCAGCACAGAGCCCGACGTGGGACTCGAACCCATGAACAGTGAGATCATGACCTAAGCGAAAGTCGGACACTTAACCGACTAAACCACCCAGGCGCTCCAAAACTTCAGTATTCTTGATCAAAAACTGTAATTTTCTAACTTTCTACTTAAGATTACTTAATATCAATTATTAAAAGCTTTCCTTTAAAGAAAAATTCTATAATAAGCTTAATAGCAATTATTTAATCACAGAGAATAATCACAAATCAGTAAATAGGGATAAGTCTGCATTTACCTTCTTGAGTCTTTTCCACTGTACTTCAACAAATTTTCATAATAAATTACTTTTATAAGTAATTTAGACCTAACTATTTTCTTTTACATTTTATGTTCTTTTCTCAGTAAGTAAAAAGATTAAGTTACTCATTACTATCTTTTGGGATGTACTTGTACTAGCGACGTAACTAATTAGTTAAAATCTTACTTTTCTCATCTATTAAATTGGGATTTTAATATCATCTGTTCCCTGGGATTATTTTTTTTTTTAAATGTTTTTTTTTTTTTAAAGTATTTTTTTAATGTTTTATTTATTTCTAGGAGAGAGAGAGACAGCGCGAGAAGGGGAGGGTCAGAGAGAGAGGGAGTCACAGACTGAAGCAGGCTCCAGGCTCTGAGCTGGCAGTCAGCACAGAGCCCGACGCGGGGCTCGAACCCACGAACTGCGAGATCATGACCTAAGCGAAAGTCGGACGCTTAACCGACTAAGCCACCCAGGCGCCCCTCCCTGGGATTATTATGAGTTGAATTTGTTAATACACATAAGGTGTTTTGGGGTATCTGGCAAGCTCAGTCAGTGGAGCGTGCAACTCTTGACCTTGGGGTGATGAGTTCAAGCCCCAAATCAGGCAGTTTACTTAATTTAAAAAAGTATTTTAAAAAATACATATACATAGTGTTTAGTACAATATCCAGTTCATATTAAGTGCTATATCAGTATTAGCCACCATCACTTTAATATATCATTTCTCTAATTAATAAAAATTATATTATACCATTTTTTAAAGTATTAGTTAAAAATAAAATTTGAGGGGTGCCTGGGTGGCTCAGTTGGTTAAGAATCAACTCTTGTCTTTGGATCGGGTCATAATCTCACGATTTGTGAGTGTGAGCCCTGCATTGGGCTCTGGGCAGAAAGTGTGAAGCCTGCTTGGGATTCTCTCTCCTAGAATCTCTGCCCCGTATCCCCTCCCTCCCGCCCTCATCAGTAATTATAATTATAAATAATTCTCTCACTCCCACCAATAAATAATCTTTAAAAATAAATAAAATCTTAACTTTTTAAGGTAAAATGGTCTCTTTAAGAAAGCTAAAATAACTAAAACAAGGGACGACTCATGGATAGTAAGTACCTAAAATCACTTAGTTGAGAAAGATTCTGAAATCTCCTTGTTCATAAGAAAAGAGTTTCAAGACTGGTTAGTATTATCTGTCACAAACAAGAGTTAGGGGCGTAGTGGTAATGATTACTTGCTATGCTATTATCTATATGCTGCTTGCATACACCTTAAGAACAGTATATAATGTTATAATAGTATGTAAGTGCAAAAAAGTCTATGAATTTTAAAATTAAGAAAATGTTTCTAAAAGCATAATAAAGTCAATTAGTATTTTAATACTTTAATTAATGTCTAAGTTGTTAAAAACTCTGCCTAAGGTAAAATGTGAAAAGTCTTGAGGAAAAAAAATTTTAATAATTATAAAAGCTAATTTTTACATAGTGTTCAATAAACACCAGGCATTGTTATAGACTTTTTGCATGCACTACAACTTTAATCGTTACAACAAATCCCCTAGAAGTAGGCACTATTATTATTCTCATTTTTTAGATAAGAAGACTGAGGCACAAAATGTTTAAGTACTATGCCCAAATTCACACAGCTCATAAAGCTGAAGCAGTCAGATTCCACTGTGTATTTATAGTGGCAGAGGTATAATGCCATATATTGAATTTCACATGGATTTAGGGCTCAGTCGGTTAAGCATCTAACTTCGGCTCAGGACATAATCTCCTGGTTCATGGTTTCAAGGCCTGCATCAGGTTCTGTGCTGATAGTTTGGAGCCTGAAGCCTGCTTTGGATTGTGTCTCCCTCTCTCTCAAAAACAAATATTAAGAAAAAAAAAATGGAATTTCAAATGGTTTTTGATTCCATAACTTTCCATGATCACTGAGAGGGGAAAAAACTATCCTCAGCATTCACTTTCCATCATGAGATTATAGAGTAAACAAAAGTGCAAAATCTCCTGAATATGTACTTCTGACCAGCAGACAGTATCCACTACCAACAGTTCAACAGAAAGTTTAAATTAAGTGTGTTAAATTTAAATAGCTTAGGAATATCAACGTTAAGGCAGTTAAGACTGCTACACCAGGGGTGCCTGGGTGGTTCAATTGGTTAAGTTCCGACTTCCGCTCAGGTCATGATCTCATAGCTCATGGCTTTGAGCCCCACGTCGGGCTCTGTGTGGACAGCTCAGAGCCTGGAGCCTGCTTCAGATTCTGTGTCCCCCACTTCTGCTCCTCCCCCGCTCGCACTCAGTCCCTCTCTCTCTCAAAAATAAATAAAAACATTAAAAAAAAAAAAAAAAAAAAGACTGCTACACCAGTGGGACACCTGGGTGGCTCGGTTGGTTGAGCATCTAACTTCAGTTCCAGTCATGATCTCATGGTTCATGAGTCCATGAGTTCAAACCCTGCATCGTGCTCAGAATCTGCTTCGGATCCTCTGTCCCCGTCTCTCTCTGCCCCTTCCCTGCTCATGCTCTCTCAAAAATAAACAAACATTAAGGAAAATTAAAAAAAAAAAGACTGCTTTACCAGTAAAAGTTGTTATTAGCTTTACCCAACTTTCTTCTTAAATCTTTTGGACACGGATTCTTATTATTTTCTTCCCTGCTTTAGTTACTAGGAAGCTCATATAGCCCTTCTCTAACATTATGGAATAGACTTTTCATATCTGAAATCTAACTCCAGCTTTTCCATTGGCCTAATTTATGCATCTAATCACCTTTAATCCTGTTACACTGATATACTTCAAACACTGTAAGATTAAGGATTTATAAATAAATTTTATACACCCACACGCACGCATAAACCTAAACACCACAAAAAAATGTAACAAAAAAAAATCATTATCTATGAATTGGGGTCCTTCAATAAATTCTAAACAGGGGAGCCTGTTTGGCTCAGTCAGATGAGTGTATGACTCTTGATTTCAGGGCTGTAGGTTGGAGCCCCATGTTGAATGCAGAGATTGCTTAAATAAAACCACACACATACTAAACATTACATTCATGTAAGGCAGAAGACTATGTGGTTAAAAATATACTTTTATCTTTTAAATAAATGTGGGGTTTGAATATATTTCTATGCCAAATATTTTTTCTTTTTTTTTTTAATTTTTTTTAATGTTTTATTTATTTCTAGGAGAGAGAAAGAGAGAGACAGCGTGAGCAGGGGAGGGTCAGAGAGAGAGAGAGAGAGAGAGAGAGCGACAGACTCTGAAACAGGCTCCAGGCTCTGAGCTGGCAGTCAGCACAGAGCCCGACGCGGGACTCGAACCCATGAACAGTGAGATCATGACCTAAGCAAAAGTGGGACGCTTAACCGACTAAGCCACCCAGGCGCCCTATGCCAAATATTTTAAAATATTATTTGAAACAGATATAAAATAGTAAATACTGGTCCATTCCATTTTCATCATTGTGTTAATACAGCAACTCTTAAAATATAACCCAGGATCCCTGGAGACTCAAAACCCTTTCAAGTTTATGTAGTTAAAACTACTCTGGTAAGATATTATTCACCTTTTTCATTCTCTCATAAGTATATGGTATAGTTTTCAAGAAGCTACATGAAGTGGTATGATCATGTTAACACACCGATAGCTAAGAATGTGATATTCCTGAAGTCAAAAAAAGTTGCTTTAATTTCTAACATGGTTAATATTGACAGATGTAACTCAGAGAACTCTTTGGGTCCTCAATAACCTTTAAGAGCTACCTGTTAAGGAGCCCTGAGACCAAAATGTTTGAAAATTTCTGGGTTAAACTATGAATGAATTTACAGTTTTCAAATTAAACTCATTTGCTAGTAAGAGAACTCTAAAGAGACAGCAATTTTAGAAAAATGATCAAGCATATGCAAGACATTATTGTTATTAGCAGAAGAGATAATACACTGAGTTAAATAATTAAAAAGTAACAGTGTTAACAGAATTAAAAGCATCTTAGTAAGCAAAAACTCTAAAAATATGAGCAACTAAGTTATAAAAGTTAGTAATAAGAAATGTGTAATGCATTAATCCAGGCACTACTTTAAAAAATTAAGAGGAAGCCTTGACACCCTGTAGCAGGTTAATCCAAAACCACATCTTACAGTTTTCTTTTGCAAAGAGTCAACAATGAGATGGCAGACAGAGAGGATTTTTTTTTTCTTCAGCAAAAACAAAACAGAGTCCTAACTAAACAAAGTTTCTAAATTAACAAAATAGTTGCTCAAAGAAAGAAAAGGCAATTTAATTCCCGGTGCACCTGAGTGGCCCAGTTGGTTAAGCATCCAACTCTTCATTTCAGCTCAGGTCATGATCTCATGGTTCAGGAATCGAGCCCCACCTTGGGATCCACGCTGAGCATGGACCCTGCCTGAGGTTTTCTCTTTCTCTCTCTCTCTCTCTCTCTCAAAATAAATAAACATTTAAAACATATATATAATTCCTTAGTGCACTTAACACTCTTATTTTCAAAAAGGAAAATTATTTAGAAAAAAGAAATTTACCTGAAAATGGCAGGGTTGCAGACGTGCTTTGGATCCAATGCTTCTCCCTGTATAAATTCATAGCACAGTCCATTATTGAAGGTACAGTAGAGTTGGGGTGCACAGCCATGCGCCTGCAACACTCGGAAACTCTTCACTTCCTCATCTCGATCAACTAACAGCTCAGTCTTATTGCCATAAATTCGCACCAGGACTACATCCTCCATTGTATTACTCACGTAACAGCCAATAAGTTTATTTGTGATTCCATCTGTGAAAAGCTGCCAAAAAAAAAATAAGAAAAAAATGAGGGAAGAAGCAATGATATACTTTTAACAAATGAAATAGCAGACAACTTGAAAATAGCTAATTAAAACATCTACTTTTTAACATAAAAAAGAAACTTTTAAATACAATTTTGCCAAACAGGTCTATAATTTTCATTCTAGATTTAAATAAAAAGGAATACTACTGCTTAATATGTTGCCCTTAATTCTTATAACATTATGTCTTTTCTCTTAATCCAAAAGTGTTAATTATTCAATCTCCAATACTCATGCAATGTTTTGATACTATTCTATCTCAAAGTACATCTTGTACCGCAATCACTGTAAACGTGTGTATACACACACAATCTCCTATGTATAATAGACTGGAAGTCTCTGAAGACAGACACTGCCCTCTTCTAGCATGGCATATAACATATAGGTCTTTAATAATGTTCACAAGTTTAGGGGGTGCCTGGATGACTCAGTCGGTTAAGCATCTAACTCTCGGTTTCAGCTCAGGTCATAATCTCACAGTCGTGACATCAAACCTCGTGTCCATGCTTAGTGTAGCGCCTGCTTAAGATTTTTTTCTCTCTCTGCCCCTCTACCCCACTCACTCAAGCTCTCTCCCTAAGATACAAAAAAAAAATTTTCATAATAAAAATAAGGTTCACCAGTTTAAATATACAAATATAAATCTACCATAAGTAATATATGATGACAAATCTCTAACTTATTAAAAAATGAATTTTAAATGTCATTTTTAAAAGGTTACTTAAAACAACACGAATTAGAAATTGTTGTATTTAGGTTATAATAATTTAAACTTAAATGCTATGGCTAAAAGGAGAAGTACAACCTTAGTGAGAAGTGAGAGGTAAAGTAGAGACTTCTACCTTATTTTCTAAAAGGGACTTTTGGGGCTTTTCAAGAGCTTATGTCAAGTACATCAGGTTCTTTGATATCTGAGCACAAATGGTACATTTAAAAGGCAAACAGATGATTAGCAGTGTTAGTTGAAGTCTATTCAAAAATTGCAATTTTCATTTTCCTCTAATTTGATATTAAAACTAATTTTTCTATTTGCTCAAAGCTTTTGGAGGCTCTCGGGTGGAATAAAGGGACAAGAGGTTAAAAGTGAAAGTGTAAGCAAGAGTTAAGGACATTATTTTCCAAGAAAATTGGCAAAAAAAATAAAAGGGAAAAGGGCCAAAGGATGTTTTAAACATACACATATTTAGCTAATGCCTAAAAAAAAAAAAAGTAAATGTTTCTATTCCAAGAAGATTATTGTAATGATAAATGACATCTAAAAAGGCTTTTTATGGGGCGCCTGGGTGGCTCAGTCGGTTAAGCGTCAGACTTCGGCTCAGGTCATGATCTCACAGTCCATGGGTTCGAGCCCCATGTCAGGCTCTGTGCTGACAGCTTGGAGCCTGTTTCAGATTCTGTGTGTGTGTCTCTCTCTCTGCCCCTCCCCAGCTCATGCTCTGTCTCTGTCTCAAAAATAAAAATAAACGCTTAAAAAAAAAAAAAAGGCTTTTTATCTTCAGATGAAAATCTGGAAGTGTTTACTAAAGTTAATATAATCAACATCTAACTAGTTTCTTTTTTAATGTTTATTATTTTTGAGAGAGAGAGACAGAGACAGAGCATAATGAGTAGGGTAGGTGCAGAGAGAAAAGGAGACACAAATCCAAAGCAGGCTCCAGGCTCCAATCTGTCAGCACAGAGCCCAACACGGGGCTCAAACTCACAGACTACAAGATCATGACCTGAGCCGTACCAACTGAGCCACCCAGTCACCCCTAACTAGTTTTTATATATATTTTATTATATATAAGACCTATTATCCTTATTCACATAATGCAGATGAATTACATGAGCTAATCTAAAGAGACTTATTTTGAATATTTACTTTTTCAGGTATGCAAAAACATACAAGTATTGCTTTCCACCTAGATTTCATAAAGACTGTTAAGTAGAACTGACAAGAAGCATATGCACTTAAACTAAATGAAAACCATTTTATTAAAATCTGTGTTGAAAAGCATACTGTCTACTACATGGTCATGTCAATTTACATACAGCATTCTGTAACTTCTTCAGATGTACAAATAAAATATTTCAATTTACTATAACAAAGACTGAGAAACTAACCCCAGCATCCTCTACTGTACAACAGCCACATACTTTGGGGTGTCTGGGTGGCTCAGTCAGTTGAGCAACTGACTTCGGCTCAGGTCATGATCTCACAGTTCATGGGTTTAAGCCCAGCGTCCAACTCTGTGCTGACAGCTCAGGGCCTGGAGCCTGTTTCAGATTCTGTGTCTCCCTCTCTCTCTGACCCTCCCCCACTCGTGCTGTGCTTCCCTGTCTCAATAATAAATAAACATTAAAAATAATACTTTTAAAAAGACACAGACTTCAAATGAAATGATAAACAATAAATTCTTTGGGTAAAAAAATAAACATGTGAATAATATCACTTCACATCTATAAAAATTTTTTATGTATGAACAAGGATAAATATATCTACAAAGATATTCAAAATTATATTAAGCAGGCAGGTTAAATCTTTTTTGTTTTCTTGTTTCTCGAAACCTTCCTTTTGGCTTATGTATGTTTTCTCACTTTCATTTTCCTGCAATGAGCCTAGTTTACATATGAAAAATTAAATTACTAAGAGAAAAGAAGCCCAACAACTAGGAACTGACCTGGCACACAACAGTAGGGCCTTGAGGTTCTATTGAACATAAACAATTTCACAGAATACCAACATCAGATGAGGCCACTCTGACCACAATGGATCAAGGCAAAAACAAAGCTACTCTGTAAGCACGTTTGAATGTAGACAAAATTATAAATTTTTCCAAACCACAAGAATGACTAAATATCCCCCTATTTTGGCTTGTATGAATGACTGCTGTTTCTTTTCCAGTCACAGCGTAGGCCCTGCTTCACACCTCCAGTCCTCTAGGTAAGATTAATATATCCCCAGTCATAGACTTGCTCCACTTCCTTTCTGACAGCACCCAATCCAGAGTGCTGTAAGTCTTGCTTACTTGAACACTCCCAAATCAACAAACCCAAATCCTATTAAATCCTTTGTATCACCCACATACAGAGATCCCTACTATTCCTAGTGGTGTAAGTTCTCTCTTAAACCCAACTTGTTCAGCACTAAGTATGTTCATAATGGTCTGTCGATGGAGAACACTGGCTTTAAAGATGGTTTTTGCCCTTGGATGGTTCCCACCTCATATATAAACCTACAGGAAACACAGAAGGTGCTGAACCTTCTGAAATGTACAGTAAAACATACTAGATATATACTAGAAATGTAACTTTTCACCTCAATGGAGGGAGGACAAAGCTAATACAAATCTCATGGATCTCCTCCTCAGGGACTATATCTGGCACTGTTGTCAAATATTTAGGATAGTACTAGCTCAGAGAAAAACATTCTATACTGAATGATAATAAAAACATTTCAAAACTTGTGCATGCTTACAGGGCCATCTAAATAAATATATTAAAAAGACAGAAAATTAGTTCCAGCTCAGGTTGAAAAAATAATTCTTCAAATAAGTATACATTAGAAAGAGAATAAAAGGGCAAAATTGTCAATAAAACACAAAAATTCAACCATCAAAAACTGTTACTTTTGGGCACCTGGGTAGCTCAGTCAGTAAAGCGTCTGTCTTCAGCTCAGGTCATGATCTCACTGTTTTTGAGTTCAAACCCTGCATCCGGCTCTGTGCTGAGAGCTCAGAGCCTGGAGCCTGGAACCTGCTTTGGATTCTGTCTCCCTCCCTCTGTGCCCCTCCACTGCTCACGCTCTGTCTCTCTCTGACTCTCAAAAATAAATAAATGTTTAAAATTTTTTTTAATTGTTGGGGCGCCTAGGTGGCTCAGTCAGTTAAGCATCCGACTTCGGCTCAGGTCATGATCTCACGGTTTGTGGGTTCGAGCCCCAGCTAGCTCAGAGCCTGGAGCCTGCTTCTGATTCTGTCTCCCTCTCTCTCTCTGACCCTCGCCTGCTCACGCGGTCTCTCTCTCTCTCTCAGAAATAAATTTTAAAAAACATTTAAAAATTTTTAAAAAAAAGAAAAAAATTTTTTTTAATTGTTATTTTTAAAGGCAGTGTTGATCACTTCCAAGCAAGATTATCATGGGGGAAAAAAAGAACACAAACTATCAATATGATATCAAAACACACCAAGGACATTACCAGAATACAATAAAGATCACTCTCATGAACATAGTTGCAAAAACTCTAATCAAAATATTAGTAACTAGGAGTACTGGACTGGCTCAGTTGGGAGAGCATGTGACTCTTGATCTTGGGGGTCATGAGTCTGAGCCCCACATGGGATGCAGAGATTACTTAAATACTTAAAAAAATATCAGTAACTAATAAAATATTTTTAAAAAGGGAGAACTTATCAGAGCCAAATGGGGCTTACTCTAAGAAAGCAAAGGTTTTCAACATTAAAATCTTTTTCAAAAAATCAATGTAATTTAGCTCAATAGAAAAATGGAGGAAAATCATGTACTCATCATGAGATTTAAAAAAAGCACATGATAAAATTCAACACTCATGTATGTTAATCACATGTGCAACTAAGAATAAAATGAAACTTTCTTGGAATGCTTGGCTGGTTTAGTCTATACAGCATGCAACTTTTGATCTTGGGGTCATGGGTACAAGCCCCACATTAGAAATAGAGTTTACTTAAAAAAAAAAAAAAAAAAAGTATACTTACAACCTGGGTGGCTCAGTCGGCTGAACATCTGACTCTTGATTTTGATTCAGGTCATCAGTTCAAGCCCTACATCAGGCTCTGCGCTGATGGTACAGAGCCTGCTCAGGATTCTCTCCTTATCTCTCTGCCCTTGCCCGGCTCGTGCTCGCTCTCTCTCTCTCTCTCAAAAAAAAAATTAAAAATCTTGATAGAAATTAAAGGACTAAATAAATGGGATATACCTTTTTATGGATTCTGAGAGTC